AGAAAACATGCTCAAGTCTTCTTATTCTATGTAAATATAGATTACATTTGTAAGTTTTTACTTTCTTTGTATTTCCTTTATTACAAGATTTCTCACAGTGTGCATATCTGAGTCCACAAATGTTTGCTGAGATGAACTTTTGAATATGACCCATGTACTTCTCACTTGTGCCGTCATCTTTATCTGAAAAGTTTTTCTATACGCCCAATAGTTACATAGAAACAACCTAGCCAGGCTGTCTTCCAAACAATTTTATCTCACTCATCCTAGGGTCTTTTTTTGTTTCCCACTCTTTTCTTATACTAATCATGATAATATGGCTTTACACAAACCCAGTTACACAAGTGACATGGATTAGAGACTTAGTAGATATGATAAATATTACAGCATTTATCCTCAAGTATTTATTAAGTATAGTATTTATCAATGTGACAGGAAATGTTCCAAGTGCTATGTTGATCGGTGAATAAGACATACAAGATCCCTGTCCTTGGAGAGTTTACATTCTAGTTGTGAAATCAGGCCACAGATGAGCACATATGTACATAAGTAAAATAGTTTCAGAATGCGCTCATGGCTAAAACAAAGAAGCAGGTGATAGGGGAAGTAATGTGAAGCTACTTTAGCTTGTGTGACTGGAGAATCCATCTTTCAGGAACTGTGACTCTGCTGCTAATCATAGAGTTAGGTTTTCCCTGCCCACGGTAGCTTCTACCAAATTTTCGTTTGCCTTTTAGTCTCTGTCTCTTATCTTAGATCTTACTATTCCTTTGGAGTTGGAGTCGCTTTTTAGACTTGTTCGATTAACTATGTAGAATGATTTATTTAGTTGAAAACTCATTCTAAATTCCTAGCTCTAGTTATTTGGCCAGATTTTCTCCTAGGAAAATTTCTGATGGGGGAATCCATTCAGTTTTGATGTGGGAAATGAAGAAGTGGGCACATTTTTATGTCTTAGAGCCCTGACTTTCACAGTTCTTCCCCATTAACTGTGCCCCCGGTTGGATACCTGTCACATATTGGGCATTATCCTTGTATCTGACCACTCTGTAAGAGTAGTTATTTTCTCCCTCCTTCCTGGCATCCGTCTTTCACAATTTTACCTTGAACATCATATTTAAATAATATATTTCCTTGTCACTTAAAATCTAAAAACCTTGCATTGGGGTATGATGCAATCAACTGTTTTTCTCCGACTCATAAACTGGCAAAAATCAACTTTTTTGATTCCTTTCCTATCTACTCTTCCTTTTCCTTCCAGCTGTTGCAATTCACTGTTTCTCTTAGAAATCACACTGCTGTCTTCCCTCCACCCCAGGGAGTTTCTTGACCCTGTATATTATATTACAGGAGCCCCTCACCACCTTCTCTGCAAGTTTGCTAGATGGAAGTCCAGCACCCTTAAACAGCATGCCACCTGCCAGTCCCCTCTCTAGGTGTATTTTAAGGTGTTTTATGCAGGACACCCTTGACCAACATGACTGTCAGACCGTGTGTATTTTTTTTTTCTTTCCCCTTTTTTTTTTTGTTGTTGTTGTTAAAACTAGAATTTACTCTAAGCCAGTGAAATGTGGGATTCAATCAGGTAAATTCTCATTCAAGGGAAGGAGGATCTATGGATTTTGGTACTATTAGGCTGAGGGGAAATCTTAGATGCTGTGTTTCTTCTGTTCTAATGGTTTGGCATGACTTGAATTTTGTTTTGTTTAATTTTCTCTAATAAGGGGGATTCCATAAGGAATTAGGAGTTAGCACTCAGAATTTCAGGACCCCACTGGGGGTTTGGACACAGTCTTTTATGGGAGAATTGGGGAAGGTGAGGTCTCAGGCTCAGAATCTGCCCAGTGCAACATCTAAGGGAGGAGGCAGAGAAGAAGGAAGACTCATCTATTCAAGGTACTAATCTATTCAAAGTACTAATCCACCCAAGGTTTTCAGGTTACCCTGTGGCTCCAGGGAGGGTAGAAACCTTAGACAGCTAGCAGTCTTGAGTTATTAATGAATTCAGGGTCTCTCCATATCAGGAGGAGTGGGGCTTAAACACAATAGGAGTGCTAATCACTCTGTTTACTCGTAGGCAAAGGAGGAGAAGGCAAGTTTCTAGTCATAGGAATTTAACACTTTATACTGGAGGCGCTCCTCCAAGATGGAGTCTCCCCTACTTCACTACTACCATGATGATAATCATTACCATGTTTAGAAATATTCTGCCATGGGGCCAGCAGGACATGGAGGTTAAGATGACTGGATCCCACATGGCTAATTGCGTGGTTCAAGTCCCAAATCTGGTGGCTCAAAAAACACAATAGATGCTTATGTGTGCATGGCCAAACTCCTGCAAAGAGAATGGAGGAGAAGAAATTTCAAAATGGCCATCTGTCCAGGGATGGTTGGAAATCTGATTTTGATACAAAGATTTTGTATCAACCAAGTTAGAAAAGGTACAAATATTACTATTGATATAAATAAATATTTTACAATGTTAAAAAAAACCCCAGATTTTAGTTAAAATCCTAGCAGGTCAATATATGGTATTGAATGGATGAAGAAAGTTTGTATTTGTGGTGGACACAGTGAGAATAAATATATGTGAAGTTGATAGAAAATTATTTTTGAATGTATCAGATAACAATGGACGGTAGTCATGACACAGAAAGGGAGAACATTTGCTCAATTATGGAATAATAAAATGAAACAACTCTCAGTCAGTACTACTACAAAAATAGGAAAAAAAATCCAATGAAACTAGGAAATATGAATATGCATGAAATAAAATGGCAGAAATAAGCCAAAATTTCCTTTGCTAGGTGTACGAAAATATGCAAGATAAATCCCTGAGAATGTTCATGTCACTCTATTTGTAAAAATCACAATTGGAATCAACCTAATGTCCGTCCACATCCACACTGGCAAATTGTCCATATTCATACAATGGAATATTATACTATAACATCATAATAAAAGTAAATGCCAAAGCTACACACAACAATATGGGCAAATCTCACAGTATTAAGTTACAAGAAAGAACCCAAACACAAATACATCCTGCATGCTTCCACCTAAGGGCATTTAAACAACTGGCTAAAACAACCTATTTCCATCTTTCCAGTCACAGGCTCTAAAGTCAGTCATCTTTGACTCCTCCCTTGCCTGCATTCTCCACAATCAGACATCACTGCATTATTTCACATATTACTTACACACACTTTTTTATCTCCTCCTGTCTCCTAGGCATTTTGAGAGACAACGGGGTTGGAGAGATAAATTAAAGAAGTGTGAGAAGGTCCTTGGAACCTTTGACTCTGCAGCATGAGAGGAGGTTCAGGGTATGAGGAAACAGCTGTGGTTGTTGGACTCACCATTTTGTGGAATAGGAGAGGCTTACTGCAAACACCATCTTTGCCATATGACTTAGATGAGAATCACATCTCCTGTTTTTCACTTATACCAGGACATATACTCTTTAGATTCCTATTCTTTGCCTTAAAATAGATTATCTGAACTGTTTATCCCCACTGATTAATAGGAACAAAGTGCTTGATAACATGACCAAACATTAGATGAACTTCTCGTCTTCCTTCAGGTTCCTGAACATTAACCCTCTCTTCCTTACCCAGACTATAAGCCCTCCTCAAGGAACTACCCAGAACCTCCCCACCCCACCCAGAAACCTCTGTGAAAACACACTCTACACATACTGGACTCTTAATAACCTTGTTGACCAGGGCCAGCAAGTGCATAGTGGTTAAGGCACTGGATTCTCACATGGTGGGCTGTAGTTCAAATCCTGGACCTGGTGGCTTAAAACTCACATCAGATGCATGTGCATGTGTGCCCAAAATCCTGAGGAGAATGGAGGAGAAGAGACTGCAGTGCAGCCATCTCACCTGGGGTTGATTTCTTTCTTTCTGTCTCTCTGACAAGCCTATGAGCCATATAGCAAAAAGAAAACTCTGAAAAAAAATAATATGGGCCTTTATCACAAAAGAATGTCCCTTTCTGCCTTGCCTTCAGAAGTTTGGAGCTTTTATGATCAGATTGTTCTCTATTTGCCGGAGTCCATGTTCTGGGCCATGGACCAATAACGGTCATTTTTATTTTTATATTTCTAAGAATTATTTAATTTAACTTTATTTTGTATTTATTTATTTTAATTTGACAAGAGAAGGACAGAGTAAGAAAGAGGGAGGGAACATGAGAAAGCAAGTCGTCAGGTTCAGAACTCGAACTGTGGTCAACCATGTTGGAGTCCATCGCCCTTAATCACCACGCCACCTCCTGGTTTTTATCATTACTTATTATTACAATGTAATAATTATAAAAATAACGTGCACAATAAATGTGATGTTCTTTAATCATCCTAAAACCCTGCACCTGACCGCAACCTTGGACAAATTGTCCTCCATGAAACCATTTCTTGGTTCCAAAGATTGGGGACCACTGCTCCAGTACAGTAGTCTCCTTCTTATTGTTATAGTAATAAATTTTAAACAAAGTTTCTACCTAAGTTAGAATTAGTTTTCATTTAGTAATATATATTTTCAGATTGTTTCTTTTTTGTTGATGTTATATACTCCCTGTCCCTTCAGATATGTAGGTTTTTAATATTTTTCTTTTGAATACATGTGCTTGGCAGAGAGAGAGGGTAAGGACTCCCTAATGGGGCAAAGTTATCCTTAACCCTTTCTCCTTTTCTCAATCCTGTCCTCAATTCAGGCACGGAGGCACATGTGCTTGGTATGTGTTTTTAAGCCATTGGGAACTTGAACCAATGTTGTCCAAACAGAATCTGGCTCCCTTACCCAGTAGGTCATGGACCTGGCCTTGTAAATATCTTTTGAAGCCATGAATAGCAAAATGGATGTCTGTGTTCTAAGTATGTTTTAATCTTCCTGCGTTTGTGTTGTTCTGTGACTGTTTCCATCTATTTTCGCTGCCTTTTAAGTCTCTGTTCTGTTGTTGTACCTCTGTCTATCCCATTTCCCATCTTCTTCACCCACCTGTCTCCTTGAGCCACGCTCCTGTCTTCAGGTTGCTCCAGAGAGATCTGTGTAGAGAGAACTTCCTTCCCTGAGGTGGTCAGCAGCTGACTCAGCCGGGCTAGTTCTGTCTCTCAGTGTGACAAGGGGACTGAATTTATACTGAGAGCAGGAGTGCAAAACTGCTTTCACTTTCATCCTTGCTATTTTGATATTTTTTAAAAAATCGGCTGATTGTGAGGAAGCCTAGGGACTGGATTTTAGTACTGCTGCCAAAGAATATAAAACTACACCAGAACAACTTCTAGTGTTACATAGTACATATATGGTAATATGGTATCTGTAATGAAACATAATTTATTGTCGGGGCCAGCAGCACTGTTACTCTGCTCTGAGTTTCTGCAGGACCTCCATTCCTAAAAATGCTGAACTGCATCATCTGAGACACTATCCAACAATTGGCCCCAAAACAGGATGAAAACATCTTGCTCCTCCAGAGGGTATGATATCACACCTTCCTCCAGAGTACCCACACTGCACCCCATCCCCCTAAAAGACTGACCATCACCCATAATTCCTTGTCCCTCTCTTTCCCCATCTTTTTTTTTTTTTTTTTTAAATAAAAGATAAAGGCTGGAAATGTTACATCAACTTCTGAGTGGCCTTTAGGTAATTTCCTGTCAGAAATAAGGAAATGGTTTCAGTGACCTTTGGCCAGAATCTTCTGGCCAGAACACTCCCTTACTGGGAACTGAGGCCCCTAGATGGGCTGATAAGGTCCCAGTGGTGAAGAGCTAATCCAAGTACCTGGCGTTCTTGTGACCCTGCCCCTCCCCCTGCCCATGTAAGTACATCATGTCTCCTTGGTAGGGTGGGCTGAAGCACCTCCGGCTCCAGATCCCCAGGTGCTCTTTCTCTCAATAAACTTTCCTTTTTCTCTTGGAGGGGTAAACAACAACAACAACAAACAAGGATATATACCACGATCAAATAAGCTTTATTCCAGGGAAACAAAAATGGTTCACACGAAACAACAAATGTAATAATACATCATATTAACAGAAGGAACCTAAAAGCAGCTGATCATATCGATAGCTATAGAAATAGAATTTGATAAAATACACCATTATATTATGACTAATACTCGTAACAGTTACTGGGAGAGACATTTCTCAATACAATAAAAGACTTATATGACAAAGCTATAGCTAACATCATACTGAACAGGGAAAAGATGAAACGCTTTTGTGCCAGTACTTCAATACTATGTTCAAAAGGAATGGAGAAAGTAGACAAGCTTGTCAATAGCGCACAACATAACATAAAGCTCTTTGTTGAAAATGATGAGTATGGTATTATCTTTTTAAATTTTTAATTTATTATCATAATCTTGTTTATATTACATAAAATAACATATAATTTTACAGTGTATTACATTTATTTTTCCAGAAGGAATACCATGCATATCAGTCAATGCAAAGGCATTAAAGTCCCCATCATCATCCAATAGCTTTCCATTTGTTTTTCCAGATTATTATTATTATTCCAATTTTCTTTAAACACTCAATCACTATTTATCATTTTGCTTGTCAAAAGACTTTATCCAACATGAAATACTTCTCAGATCAGTCTAGTTGAGACTAGTATACACGTGATCATCAACAGGTAATAAACCATATCTGAATCCCACTAATGTCATGCCTCTCCATTTGTTCTCTTGCTATCCTTCTCCATAGTCTTCACTTTTCCCACCCCATTCTACACTGTCTTATCATCTCTAACTATTTTCGCTGCTTTGACGCCCTTCAATATTTCAATCTGTACCATAAAGTGCAGATAGCTGATATATATAAACTGGATACATACAATATCTTTCTTTCCTATTATCATGACTTACTTCACTCAGTAACAGAGCCTCCATATCTGACCACTTTCTATCAAATGCCAGTGTCTTGTTGTTTTTTTATGGCTGAGTAGTATTCCATAGAGTATATGTGCCACACTTTTTCAATCCATTCATGAGTTTCTGGGCATTTGAGTTGGTTCCATGTTTTAGCGATTGTAGATAAAGCTGCAATAAACATTGATGTGCAAGCACTTTTCCAACTGAGCATTCTCCTGTCCTTTGGGTAGATACCCAGAAGTGGGATTGCTGGATCAAATAGTAGCTCTATTTGTAGGTCTTTGAGGAACCTCCATATTGGTCTCCACAGTGACTCAACCAGTTTACATTCCCACCAACAGTGTAGGAGAGTTCCTTGTTCACCATCCACACCAGCACTTATCACTTTTTATATTTTTAATCTTTGCCATTCTGACAGGGGTTAGGTGATATCTCATTGTCATTTGAATCTGCATCTCCCTTTTGATGAGGGAAGTTGAGCATTTCCTCATATACTTTTTGGCTATTAGTATGTCTTTCCTAGAGAGATTTTTGTTCAGCTCATTTTCCCATCTTTTAATTGGGTTAATCTTTTTTTTTCTCATAAGGTGCTTGAGTTCGCTGTGTATTCTGGTTATCAGTCCCTTATCTGAGGCATATTTTACAAAAATACTCTACCATTCTGACGGTTGTCGATTCACACTTGTTACTGTGTCCTTTGCTGTGCAGAAACTTCTTAGTCTGATATAGTCCCACTTGTCTATTTTAGGGATTATTGCCTATGCTTTGGGAGTCTTAGTCAAGAAGTCTGTGCCTACTCCAATGTCACCCGGAGTTTCTCCGGTGTTTTCCACCAGTAGCTATATAGTTTGAGATCTTAGGTTCAGATCTTTGATCCATTTTGAGTTGACTTTTGTTAATGATGAAAGATGGGGGTTCAGTTTCATCTTTCTACAGGTGGATACCCAGTTTTCCTAGCACCATTTACTAAAGAGATTTTCCTTTTCCCAATGGATTGATTGGTATCCTTTGTCAAAACTCAGTTAGCTGTATGTTTTGGGGGTTATTTCTGGGCTCTCTATTCTATTCTATTGGTCCACCTATCTATTTTTGTGCCAATACCATGCTGTTTTGATGATCACAGCTTTATTGTATATCTTGGGATCAGGGAGTGATATGCCTCCCACTCCACTCTTCTTGTGCAGGATTGTTTGGCAATACCAGGTCTTATAAGATTCTAGACAAATTCTATGATTGTCTTTTCTAGCTCTACAAAGAATATCTCTGGTATTTTGATTGGAATTGAATTAAACAAGTAGATTAATTTGGGTAGAATTGTCATTTTGATTATGTTAATTCTGTCAATCTAGGAACATGGGATGTCCTTCCACTTTTAATGTCATTTTTAATATCTTTTTAAAGATTTTCATGGTTTCATTTATAAAGGGTATCTTGTACATTTTGTGGCTATGGTGAAAGGGATTCCTTTCTTCATTTCTATTTTGTTCAACTTGTTGTTCATTACAGAAATTCTATAGATTTTTTGGATGTTGATTTTGTATCCTACCACTTTACGGTATTCACTTATTACTTTGAAACCTTTTTTCATGGAGACCTTTGAGTCTTTTAAGTATACTGTCACATCATCTGCGAATAAAGATATTATCAACTCTCTTTGCCTATTTGAATGTCTTTTATATTGTTATCTTTTCTGATTCATTAGCTAAGACTTTTAGCACTATATTAAAAAGCAGTGGAGGGACCAGTAGTTAGTGTAATGGCTATGTTGCTGGACTCTCATGTAGCTGACCATGGTTAGAGTCCCAGACTTGGTGGCTTAAACTCACACCAGGCACATGTGCATATGTGTCCAAGATCCTGAGAGGAGAATGGAGGAGAAGAGATTGCGGTGTGGCCATCTTCCCTGGTGGGTGATTTCTCGCTTCCTGTCTCCCTATCTCTCGTGGGGGGCCGCGCCCCTATAGGAAAAAACCCCCCAAAAAAAAAAAAAAAAAAAAGCAGTGGAGAAAGTGGGCAGCCTTGCCTAGTACCAGTTTTTAGTGAAAAAGCTTTCAGCTTTTCCCCATTCAGTATAACGTTAGCTGTAGGTTTTTCATAAATGACTTTTATTATATTGAGAAATGACCCTTCTATAACAATATTACTGAGGGTCTTAATCATGAAAGGATGTTGTATTTTATCAAATGCTTTTTCTGTATCAATTGAAATGATCGTATGTTTTTTTAAATCTTTCTTTCTGTTAATGTGGTGTATTACATTTATGATCTTGCATATGTTGAACCACCCTGATATCCGTGGTATAAACCTACCTGGTCATGATGAATAATCTTTGTTATATGTTGTTGGATACAATTTGTGAGTATCTTGTTGAGAATTTTTACATCTTTATTCCTCAACTATAGTGGTCTGTAGTTTTCCTTTTTTGTCATGTCCTTATCTGTTTTGGGAATGAAGATGATTAAGGCTTTATAAAATGAATTTGAAAGGTTTCCCTCCTTTTGAATCTTTAGAAATAATTTTAGTAGGATAGGGATTAACTCTTCCTTAAAAGTTCTGTCGCATTCAGAAGTGAAGCCATCTGGACCTGGGCTTTTCTTGCTTGGAAGGTTATTTATTACTGATTCAATCTCCTGGCTTGCTATGGGTCTGTTTAGGTTTTCTATATCTTTCTGATTCACTCATGGTAGATTATATGCATCCAGGAATTTGTCCATCTCCTCCAAGTTATCTTGTTGGCATATAGTTGCTCATAGTATCCTCTAATGATATTTTGTATTTCTACTGTGTCTGTTGTAATACTGCCTGTTTCATCATGTATTTGATTTATCTTATTTCTTTTTTTCTTCTTTATTAGTCTAGTCAATGGTGTGTCGATCATGTTAATCTTTTCAAAGAACCAGCTTTTGCTTTCATTTATTTTCTTCGTGGTTCATTTATTTTCTATTTCATTCATTTCTTTATTATTTCTTTTCTCCTGGCATTTTTAGTTTTTTTTTTTTCTGTTTTTTTTTTTTTTTTTTCCCTCAATTCCCTGTCTCATGATATTAGGTTATCATGTTTATCATGATGTTAGGTTAATTTGTTTGCCAAGTTCATTATTTATTTATTTATTTATTTATTTATTTATTT